CGATAAAGCCAGAGGACAACTTATAAGTGCTCTTAATTTTTTGCGAAATAGACCTCTGGCGGATGGGACTAGTTCTATCACTACTGAACGTTTTCGAGATGAAATACACCGTAAGTCTAGTTACATGCCCGGCAAATGTTGCCTTTGTCCGACCTTATATCGATTACCTTTTGTCAAGATATAGTTGTACCGTTCCCTCGTGCATTTAATGCACCTACTGGTGGCCTTTTCCTTCCGATCTAATTTAAAACTTTTTTTTGTCATAAGTTAATTTTCAGAAATAAATCAGATTAATCTTGCTACTACTTGGTCACGTATTTCGTCGCAGACCCTCTAGGGATCCGGCAAAATTAAATAGTTCATAAATAGGAGCGCATCTTTCTTATCGGCGTTGCTTCCAATTGGCGGTTCGAACGAAGACTTGATGTTGCTGGTTTATTTTATCGTGCATTTACCAAAATGAATTGTCTATCAAATGCATTTCGTATCTTGTCTTGATACTATCACTCCTTCACAAGTCTGTTCCCAGTCTGGAATTTTGATATTTTTATATTTAGTGGTATCACAATTAGGTTGAATTGCTTTTATGTATGTGTATATATGTATACTCGTTTATTTCTAAGTCTAATAGATCATTTTACTCACTTTTAGTTGGGAACTAATTAGTTGAATGTTCGTGCCATCCTTAAGCTCTAATGCGAGTACTGTTGCCGATCCCAAGCCATAAATGAGATCCACCAATGGTAGGAAAGCACTTAGGCTATGTTCATAATTGCTACACCAGCATTTATAGTTAATTTGTAATTCTTCACTTATCTTAGTCCTGTTCTGTCTTTTTAAGAAAATATGAATGATAATATTTTGCCTTCTTGGAGAGCATTATCGGATTTAGAGGATAAAAGGCGTTTTCGACAGCAAGAGGCTCTAAATGAAATAGATCGCATAGCCGTGCTTCTGAGTTCCACTCGTTCGAATATAACAGGTCGGTGATTATTTTTTTATCTTATATGCCCAGCGTAGAAAAAGTTTATTTCACTTAATTAAGAATTGTCCCCTTTTCAGAATATGCTCCTTTAATTGACGAGAACCTCTCTACTATCGCAAATAGCATAAGCATTTTAGTTCCCAGCGAGGAAGATCCATTTTGTCAAGAACCTCTTGTTGAGTTTGCCGAATCCCCATCGTGCGGCAATCAGAATTTTCAAAATGTTCATAAGGATTATGCATGGGATGAATGTGAGCCCACCGATGGCACATGTGGAGAGCTTGCAGATCCAAGTGCTGCTTGGCGAATCCATGGCAAATTGCATCCAACCCTTATTTCATTTGGTCTTCCTATCAATGAATCTACAAAAACAGAAAGAAACCATCTTAATAGCCATGATGCTCATCAGGACCTTGGTAACTATATCTAGGCTAACAAACTTTTTTCCAAGTCTAAATTATTGATGTGCTATTTTCATTACCTACTATTTAACTGCCAAATTTACTTGCATCAAACTTAGATTTATTTTACCAAAAAGGCAAGCTTAGAAGTTTTCTTTTTGGGTTTCTTATCGTCTGGGCTGGCTCTTAGCTTTTTCTAAAACGCATAAACTGAAAAATATCAAATTTCATGCTTACCATCGTCTCTGGAGCT